TAACTATAGAGATAGCTCAGGATAACCTGAGCCACCCTAACTATAAGCTTTATCAAATCTTTATCCTAATAATGTGTTGTGAATTGGTGGTATATGATTCAGCTGAATTGAATTATATCACTGTAAAATCTTGGACTAAATAAGACTAAATTGTACAAGGACCCAAATATGTGTTTAAAAGTTCCGTCTTATTGGGGTATTTTGAGGATTATTGCTGCAATTGTTTTCTTTCAGAACTCTTTTGTCACACGTAGCAGGGATTAAAAGATAAAGAATCTACAGTACACCGCTTTTAAAAACAACACTTTACATCTGGGAGTTTTTTTAAAGTAATTTTTTCCTTCACACAACTCACAGAAATACACTATTGTGCGTTTTTGTTTAGTTTAGTTTTTTTACTTCAGCAGACGCGTAGGGGCCACTTTAAAACCAAAACTCGTCGGCCAATCAGAATCCTTTAAAACATCCATGACTTCCTCTTAGGAATGAGTCATGGATCATTTATCAAAAATTACAAACAGTGTTTTAAGAAATATAAAAAATAAGTACACCTCTGACAAAGTTCCTTTTAAACTCCACCATATGTCCAATGGATAAACAACGGTGTGACGCAGAGAAGTAATATTTGTCGCCTGTCATTAATATTTGTCTTTTTCATGCAGGCCTAAAACTTGAGGGTTTTTAAATAACTACCACTATATTGTTCTTGTTTCTTTGGGCATTTTACACCTAGTAACTAGCATGCATGTTATGCAGTTAGAAAAAGCTCTGTAAAGTTGAAATGTCCATATAAAACATGCAGTCCACAGTGTATAGATAATTGAGGATAAAAATCAGATAAAATTCCCTTGTATTTGCCTCATTTTAAATGCTTCATACTAAAACCTTTCTGATAAATAGACATTCTGTGGATAAGGTCGACTTCCAGGACATTTACTGTGTTCGTCTGCCATTAGGTACTAATATCTAGTCTCGTCTCTTCATTTAGCATCTTTGTCAGGTGATGTTGGAGTTCTTCACGTACTGGAGTCAGAAGACAACCTGGACTTGGTGCTTCGTTCTGGTCTCCACCCTCCTTACATGGTCATTCTGGAGACTCCACTCTTTACCAGGTACAGTTTGCAGCTGTTATCCAGCAGTAGATGTAACGATGCTAGAGGTTAGAAGTTTAGTTTCCCAAATATAAAAATGATTTATCAATAAAATGAACTAAAACGATCGGTCATGGCAAAATAAAACTTTTTTTAACCTTTACATACTGTAGGTGCATGTAGCTATATTAAATTATTCTTTCAGTTTGCATTCATATCATTCAAGCGTCTGTTTCTGTTCTTTTTTGAGGATTATGACTTTCAACCAATTGGAACAAAGATGTATATTTTTTGGAAATTAAAATATAAAATAAACAAAAATCATTTTGTTTCTGTTATGTCACAAACATAATGGGAACAATTGGCCTAGTGGTCAGAGGAGTGTGCCTGTGCTCTGAGAAGGTTGCAAGTAAAAGAAAAACCTTTCCACTCTGAGGGGAGTGGCTGCCTAGTGGTTAGGGCATAGAGCTTGGAATCCTGAGGTTCTGAGTTCGAGCCCCACTCCCACAGACTGCCACTCTGGGTACATTCCCCTAATAAATGACAATAAAAGCTTAAAAAACAAACAAAAAACTACCCGGTTTGATCCCCTTAGCCTGTACTCTGGGACTCTGAGCAAGACCCTTAACCCTCACTCCACCACACAATGGCAGCCCACTGCTCCCCAAGGGGATGGGTTAAATGCACAGGTACATTTCTCCAATGTGAGATCAGTAAAGTTGAATCCTGAGGGTCCTGAAAAACTGAAGAGCTACTATCCTGCAACTTTTTGATGCAACCCATTTTTAACACACCTGATGAGTGGCTCCTTACCATGCCTCAGCTGGGCTAAATGAGGGGATTGATCCTTTCGATTCAGATGTGTTAGAGAAACGATACATCAAAGGCTATGTTCACACTGCAGGCCTTGATGCTTAATTCTGATTTTTTTGCGTTGCTGTTCACATTTCCAAATATATGCGACTTGTATGTGATTTCCTGATTGAACTGCAGTCATACAATGCAGGTGTCCCGCATGCGCAGTAGAGGAAGCAATGACATCACAAGCAAGCCTGCTCTGTGTTTACGGAAGTAAACATGGATGGTAGTGCTGAAGAACATCTAGCAAACTTTCCCAACCTTAAAAACCTTAACAACTAAATCTTTCCAAGATAATTAATCATAAATACTACCCTCCGCATTATCGTCCACCATTGTTGTTGTTTTTCTTGCTATTTCTGTGTCGCATTTAAAAAGATCAGATTGGTATCGGATTCAGGCCCACATAGCCAAGCAACCTGATCGCATTGGAAAAAATCGGATCTATGTTGTTCAGACAGTCATGAAAAGATCAGATCCAGGTCACATATGGGCAAAATAATGGTATTTTGGTCACTTCAGGCTGCGTGGGAACGTAGCTCTAAAAGTTCCAGGATGGAAGCTCTTGAGGACTGGACTTGAGCACCCCTGATCCAGGTAGTGAACAGCTGAAGCTCTTAGTGCCTGGATGTCGCTCTGCTGAGCTGTTCAGGAAGCCCAGGTTGGTGTTATTGTGTCCTTTAGCTCATCTGCTCAGTGGCCTCAGGTTTGGGTCATTAAAGAAGGGATTGGATTATAAAGAGCTCTAAAGGTTCCTGACTTTGGACCTGGTTAAATTGTGCTGTCCAATTAAAACAGCTTGGATTCAAAACCTTTCCCTTTCCCCCAGACTTTAAATCTTATTTTGATATGAAATATAAAATAGACTCTCACCTGAACAACAGCTCAGTGGTTTTCTCCTCAAACTTCTTCTGGTCGTTGTCTGTAGGTCAGACGTTAACGCATGAGCGCCACATTTTAGACCGTCTCTTCATACGTCTGTCTGTAGGGGCTTTTATCTCCGTATCTCCAACAAATATTCTTAAAGCTGCTGTTTTTACACTTTTATTGACAGTTTCTTTTTTCCTTACACCAAACCTTTTATTGTAAAGCTCGGATACAACCATCCGTACACAGCAAGCATCTTTAACATTCATTTTAGGTGACTTCCTGCTTAGTGTCATTGGTTTAGTTATTAAACTTTCACCAATTTTAAGCTACGAGCATTAAAATAAACCAAAATAAAATGCTTAAAATATGCGGCCTTGTCTGCAGTCCATTCATAGATTTCATTCTTTCACTTAGTTGAAAACCTAAATGAACTTTTTTTCTGAGATGCATCGGTTCATTGTTTAACTCCTTTTGTCGTTGTTGAATTCCCGTCCCTTAGATCCATCATGATGAAGCTGAAGAGCGGCTCCAAAAGGGTGGCTGGCGTCGCTGTGGTGGAGCCCAGCGCCAATCCACCGCAGGGCTTCTCCCCGCACACTAAATGTCCCAACGAGAACACAGGTGGGTGGAGAGTCGGGTGGAAACAGATGGAGAGAGAGAGAATGCTTGAAGGCAAAGATTTGTAATGCTGAATACTTTGGGCCTCATTGTTTGAGACAAATATTTTGTAAACATGAAGAGAAACATGATCCTTAAGTTCAGTTTAAGGTGTTGCCCTTTGTAGTTAATGACATTATGCACTATATGCTCAGCTGGACGATGAGGCATGTTCCTTGAACAAATCTTATGTATTAGATACATTTTTATTTAAACATTTTTGTTAGTTTTGTGTTTTCACAAATTGTACTCTGTGTTGCCTATCATCTTACATGAGTATGGGATACGGAGCAGGAACAAACAAACAAACAAACAAAAATTAAATAAATAAAATTAAAGGAAGTCGCCGTACAATGTGATATTCACATTAAATCTTGGCCGTTTCTCAATTCACAACGTGAGTATGGACTCCAGACCCGTGTCCTCTCCAAGTTTGTTCTTGAGAAGAACACACGAAAGTCTGGACTTGGGGAGAACGGGATCACGCAGCGTAAATATGGGTCAATTGGAACAGAAGCGTACTGATGATGTCACCACACGCTCGGCTTGTCTGGAGCTGCATTTCACCTCCTGCTATTAATAGTCTCTAGATAATATTAAAAAATTCTGACTTTTTTCATTTATTGGGTGAATAATAGTTATATAGTTAATAGTAGTTTTGCCAAATAACACACACACAAAAAAAACGCCATTAGATCCAGTGTTACTTCACACACAGCTATGCCGAGAGAGGGCTGCTGCAGGGATTAGCCCTGGCTGCAGTTAGCCTCTGCGCTCCGCTGGTTGCTGCGGTCCTCTCAACTTTGGAATTTCTTTTTTAAATTACGCATTAAATCGGTAAGTGGATCATATAGTGACGCTTTAAAGTATAATGTTCTGGCCTCAAATGGTCTTAAAACGTACTTTTGTTGAACAACAGCAACAGAAAAGAGAACTTTCAACTTAAAGGGGATCACCGTTTTTTTTTTTTTCAATATAAATATAAAAAATATAACCGTGGATGTCTGGGGGACAGTGATTCGCCTACATGTTATGAGTGCTGGCGTACCATAAAGAATAAATTATGAACAGTTTAGTTTATTCCTCAAGTCGTTGCCCATAGGAAGACGTTACTTGGATATAACAAAACAGAATATCTTCAGAACAGCTCCAAATGACACAAAACTCATATGGGTGAGTTGAACATGATGTAATAACGTAAAATCAAGGGCCCAATTTAAAAAAACAGCTACTTCCTTTAATACTCTGTGACTGCTGCTTCCGCAATGCATGCTGAGACAGCCTGCTGACCAGTCTGCTCTGATGCATGCTGGGTAAAGAGGAAGAGGGGCGAGAACAACATCCGGGGACTTTGTCCGTTCTGCTGTTGTTGTGAATTGGAACAGTACTTGGGCTGAGGATGATGACGTTTCACAAGCACACGAGAACGCACAAGTACACAGATTGGGATTCGGCACGTCTTCATCAGCCGGCAAAAATTAACAGACATATTTAAAGCCTCACATCAACACAGTCATATCAAGCCAGGTGATCAAATAAAGAAGAATTATAATACAAAAGGAGGATGTTTATCAGTTAACATCTGGTGAGCCCTTCCACTTTATAGGATTCTGACCTCTCATCACAAGTTGTGTCATTTAGTAATAAATACATTTAAGGTTTAATGCTAAAAGCAATAAGCAAATAAAGGCATCCAAACAAGGATCAAAATCCTTCTTTTTTTTTTTTCTCCTCTTCCCAGGCGTGTACTCGGAGAACTATGGTCCCAGTCTGGCCCACTGCAACACAACAGAGTGGAACCCCCTCGGAAACGGCTTGTCCTACGAGGACTTTGACTTTCCCATCTTCTCCCTTAAAGACGACAATGACACACAGGTTATACGGCAGGTAAAGGTTTCAAACGTTTATTTGTTTAATTAAGTCATATTTTAATCATTTTTCATAGTGGCGTGATGAGTGGAAACTGATTATTAAGAGGACAGGAACTAGTTAATGTGACCCAAACCTTTCCTCCCATTACGCAATTTATAAAAGATCAGATGTTTAGCAGCTGGGCGGATAAATGACAGCAGGAGAAAAAATACATCATAAGTAATTATTACATAATATTTTGCAGGAGAAAGAAATAAAATTAAGAAATTAAATTTCTTAAAATGAAATTCTGAGTCTTCAGTGTTTGTGAGAGTGACGCAAGTGAGCACATATGCGGTCGAGACGGAGACCATCAGAAGTTAAGATGAAAATAAAACACAAGCGAGAAGTGAAACATTACAAAACCATTACAGAAATATAATTTCTAGAGGTGGTTCATTTTAAGTTATTTAAAGGTGTCGATTTAAAGGAAACTAAATATTCGTAGACGCAAAACCTTTCAGATTATTGTTTAAAACCCCTTTTAATAATAATTTTCCTTCCACCTGGCAGCTAGGAACGACTTCCTGTTGGCTTTTATGGCAAATAGTTCTAACTAGGGCTGCAACTAATGATTATTTTGCAAATCAATTAATCTGTCTATTATTATTTCGATTAATCGATTAATATTCGGATAACCAGGTAAATCTTTTCCGCTCGAGGAGTTCTGAATAGAGCATATTGACAGAGGAAAAATATAGTTTATCTTAAATAAAATGCATATTACTGCTGTAAGTGTGTTGCTCTGTCAGCTAAGGGTATGTTTTACAGCCTCTAAACTCCAGTAAATAATTAATCGATCACTTAATTAGTTGACAATTGTTTCAGTCGATTAATCAGATAAATTGTTTCAGCCCTAGTTGTAATATAGCAAAATATGGAAAATTTATTAATGTTCATTTTGCCAGTAGATCCCTGCAGTTGGATTATGGAAGGCCTTTTTTTCCACGACAAAATGTGCATGTTTTCTTAAAGTTATTTGTAGTGAGGTTAATAAAATAAAATTTGTTCTGGAAACGGAGACTCTTATTTTTCTCCTCTTTTGGCAGCTATTTGGATTAAAGATTATAAACTTTGATGTACAGTGATGCCCCTTAGCTTTTTTCAGCAGATATTACCTTTTTTTTTTTAGCTGACTAAAAATAGACTGGAGTCTTTAAAGATGCTATGACTTCAGTCCTCGAGAGCTTCTCTCCTGCAACATTTGCATGCACCCCTGCTCCAACACACCTGAATCAGTTGAATGGGTCATTGACCAGGCTAACAGGAGGTCATTTAGCCTTCTGATGTCTGTGCGATGGAGCAGGGATGCATACCAAGCTTGGAGGATTTGGCCAGCAGGGTACCTATTTGAAGAAGAACCAACTATTGCATGTGTCTGCTTGATTCTCAGTGCTACATGGACCACAACCGCGCATTGAACGGCAGCGACCCGCAGTACCCTCTGTGTGCCATGCAGCTTTTCTCCCACATGTCTGCCGTCACCAACACGGCCACCTGCATGAGGAGAAACAGCATCAGTTTCAGCATTAGCCCAGGTAATCCCACAGCATCACTAAACTGAAACAACGACTTCAAATGAACTGACGGTTCATCCGTTATGTAGTGAAATGTTTTCAGAAACTTGTTTTTTGTTTGTATTACATTTTAATGTATGATTTTTTAATGTCTGCTTCATATTTCAGAAATGGTTTGTGATCCGCTGAGTGACTATAATATTTGGGCCCCAGTTAAACCTTTGAACACCACAGAGAAAGGCCACAAGGCGGGGGAGAGCGTGGTCATCGCATCAGCCAGGGTGAGTATCGGTTATCTACTGTGATTTTTTTAAAGCAAATATGATAAGAAATGAATTTTCAGATCCTCATAAACAGAGCAGCACATGTTCCTAAGCTGATGCGAGAAAATAAACTAATCATATGATGGCAACTTCGCTTGTTTGTCCTTTTCAAAATTCTTAACCCACACTGATGTATATTTTTCTTCTGACGGTTTATGACTTGGAGGATTTTCTTAAAACGTTTTTGTGTTTTTAGCTTGTTCTGTATTGCATTATTTATAAATACAAGTAATAAAAACCTTTAGGACGTCCAAACATCTATTTTTAAATTTAAATCTCATTGAATAGTGAGGAAAAAAACATCACTAAAAGATCTAATGTTAAAACTCTGGAAAAGTGTTTGTGAATTTCATTGTTTTTTAATTAGGAAAAAAAAGAAGTATAAGAAAAGGGGAAAGTCGTTATTTGCATTGCATTGAGGACTAAATGACATCAGAAATCAACTGGTAGCGGGTGAAATTAACTATAAAATCAATGTGAATAAAAATATTCTTCCTGGTTTAAAGATGCAGTCACGTCATCTTTCCTGACAAGAAGGTTAAAAAACATTTGATTGTAATAAAATAAGGTTATATATACTAAGCATCCAACATGATGGGGTTTAGATCTTTTTTAGGCTAAATCTGATTTCAGCACCGCAGGTGGTGGGCAGATATAAACAGATGTTGCGCCATCTGCTGGCAGTACTGCTGAACTACCAGAAAACCAAATGGTGACTACTAAATAGAGCCTGGCTGTCCTGCAGTGCCTCGCTGGAAAGCAACGGCTCGGCTTGGTCCAGCTGATATTGATTAAATAAATTGATCTACAGCAACTCTAAGTTCTAGTGATCCCTCCCTAGAACCTAATATATATATATATGGAACCTATATTGGTCGCTCTGTCAGCTAAAGGCATGTTCAGGAGTCTCTACTCTCCAGTTAACGATTAATCGATTGATAAATTAGTTGAAGATTATTTCATTAATCTGATTCATTGTTTCAGCCCTAATAACGTTTGCATTCATCAGCTGTGCAGCTACATCTGAACGCCTCTGCTGATTTAGCTCTCGCTTCAGTGAACGCTAACATTCATACAGCTCTACGTGTGCTTTTCAAGTGACATCCCTTCTGAAATCAAATCGTTTTGGTTTCTTTTCCCTTGGAGGTGCTAATAGCTTAGCTGCTGTAAGCTGCTTCTTTGTTTACCCTCTGTGCACATGTGCACTGTCATACATCTGTTGTTAACAAACACAAATGGCTTTATTTACTAACAACTTACGCAAAAACAATGCATTAAACACAAAATAACAAATAATGCAGCAGCAGGACATGAACTTTTTATTCCACCAGAGTTAGTTGCTGGCGTATAGATTTAAAATATTTCATATAACGTGACTTTGCACTTTTAATGATGTCATCTTTTATCCCTTTTCGGCGTTCCATTGTAAATAATTGCTGCAGTGGAACAAAAACATTTATGGTAACATTAATATTCTCCCTCATAACATAAGTTCTCCACATTTTTCAAAGTTATGCATAGAAGATTGTTGCCACAATTGATGTAAATAAATACATCACCTGACGGCTGTTTCCTGTCCTTTCATGTCTTCAGCTTGACAGCCGGTCCTTTTTCTCTGACATCGCTCCCGGAGCAGAGAGTGCAGCCTCAGGCCTCGTCACCCTGCTGGCGGCTGCTCACGCTCTACGAAACGCCACCCAGGAGGCTCAGCTGAACCGCACCATCTTCTACACTTTCTTCCACGGGGTCGGTTCACTGGCCGTCTTTAACAAATATAACCCCATTGATTTACTTTCTGCAACTCTGTCCACTTGAAACAACGATCTCCTCTACCCACAGGAAACGTTTGACTACATCGGCAGTTCAAGGATGGTGTTTGACATGGAGAGAAATCAGTTCCCTATAGATCTGGACAACATTCACTCAGTGCTGGAAATTGGACAGGTTTGTCTTTGAAGCCTCGTTTTTTTAAATTCATTCTTCTCCAAATATGCCGCACCGACTTCTCATCTTATTCTTCGTCTTTTTAAAAGGCAGAAAGGTTTTGGGGTGTGAAAAAAGTGTTTCCATAGCGGTTTAGTGAATTATAACAATTTCACTGCAACTGAAAAAAAAACACCTCACTTAATTGTAAAAACTTTATATTGCAAAATTGTGGAGTTTTTACAAAATTGCAGTTTCCTTCAGCTTTTTCAATATTATATTTTTGTGATATTCAATGGTTAATGGGAATGCAGCTAGTGTCCAGTTGTCTTTGATTTCCCAGTCCAACCCAAAATATTCTTAATCCACTTATTAGTTTTGAATATGATCTTTATCCGGTGTTCTGTCAGATCAGCATACCCAGAGTCAATACGCATGCGCAGGACGCCAGATTTTTATACGTCTGACACTATAAGTGGTAGGAAGTCTACTAGGCTACTTTATTCATGCGTAATATGATAAACAAAACGTTGTAGTTGAAGGTAAACACACAAACTTACCAGAAAAGCAAACTGAAAGTCAAGTAGGCTAGCTTTTTTATGTAACAAAAACTTTTAGTCTGAGGTAAACAGATTTAAAGCTAAACTGCTTTAAACACAGACAGCCTCATTTTCTGTGTTCTCTACTTCACACCCTGACATAGTAGCTAACTTGTCCTATTGTCATAATGATCTAAAAATGTAACAGAAGTTGTTTAAAGTTGTTCCCTTTGTGCATTATTACTATGGGTATGCTGGACTGATTGGGTATGCTCACTGGAAAAAATCGAAATCTTAAATTAAGTGCATTTGTTCTTGAATTGTATAGTTGGATGTGTGTATATATCATGTAAAACTGTAACTGGAGCGTGTAACAAAAGTAATTTCCCTCTGGGATTATTTAAGTATTTCTGATTCTAATTCTGATTCTGATTCTGAATTGAGGATGTAAGTGAGACACTTTGCCAATGATACCAGACAATTTACATTTAAAACTAGAAAACAAAGAATTACATTGTCTTATTTTAAGCACATACTATCTAAAAATCCTCATTCCATTGGGAAATCATCTTATTTACCTGCTCAAACTAACGGTCATTACACTTAATTTAAGAAATGGTGACTTATTTCTAGATTGGTTTTGCGGTGCTGATCTGACAGAACAGCGGCCATTTTAACATTTCATTAAAAAAAAGAAAATCTATATTCATTTATTTAATATTACTTGTGGGGATTTGTAATTTGTTCATCTTAATTACTGTAAATCATGAGTTCATTTGAATTCCCTTTACAGGTGGGATTGCTCTCCAACTCCAAGCTCTGGCTCCACACAGATCCTGTCTCTAGGAGAAATAGCAGCATCGAGGAAGAGGTTTGGGTCTTTGCTTCTCACATACAGTAGTAATTCAATTCACTTTATTTATGTAGCGCCAAGTCACAGCACATGACCTCTGAAGGTACTTTACAGTTCACCAGATCATTCAGTCAGACTGATTCAAAGGTTTCTAAGGAAAACCAGTTGATTGCATCGACTCATTGACTCTTTAGCAATCCCTCACACCAAGCATGCTTGTAGTGACAGTGGAGAGGAAAAACTCCCTTTAACTGGAAGAAACCTCCAGCAGAACCAGGCTCAGTGTGAGCGGCCATCTGCTGAGGCCGACTGGGGTTCAAGGAGACAGAAGCAGTAGTAGTAGCAGTTTTAAAGTTTCCCCCTCAGGCCTGAGAGGGAAAATGCACACATAGACATTGGAGCAGGTCTACACTCTGGCAGCTTAGGGGTGCAGCCTCACTGACGCCACCCCAGGGTTTACATTACCACCATGGACCTGTCTGTTACCAGCAAAGGATCTGTCATGGATGAGAACGTTTAAACCACTGCTGCTGTAAACCATTTATAGATAAATAGTTAACACTGAATACATCCCTGATTTCCCTTTTCAAAATGCATTATATCGCTGCTCTGTGTGGACAGTGAGTGTTTAAAAGTTGAGTGAATTCATCTTCTGACCTACCAGGATTATATTTTTAAAATTAGAGAAAAATAATAACACACATATCGCTATTGTGACGGTGCCTGTCTGCACGTAAAATTAACACGAGAGAAAATGTTTGTATTAAGAGTATAGAGAAGAAGACTGGCCTCTGAGGGGAAGTTTAAAAAAAGGTAAACAAAGCTGTTGTAATTGTTCACTGGATATGTTTAGATGCGATGATTGTCATTATCTAAAAACATTTTTATGTAAGGGTCCCATACTGTTTAAAGGAATAGTACACCCAAAACATGATTAGCCTTCATTTTCTACTCACCCCCATGCTGAACAACACTCTGGAGTACTTTTTTGATATCTCAAATGCATCTGGAGATCTGGGAGGCTTCTTGCTGTCTGCTGACATTCAAATAATGGAGGTCNCAAGCTCTGGCTCCACACAGATCCTGTCTCTAGGAGAAATAGCAGCATCGAGGAAGAGGTTTGGGTCTTTGCTTCTCACATACAGTAGTAATTCAGTTCACTTTATTTATGTAGCGCCAATTCACAACACATGCCATCTGAAGGTACTTTACAGTTCAGACTGATTCAAAGGTTTCTAAGGAAAACCAGTTGATCGCATCGACTCATTGACTCTTCAGCAATCCCTCACACCAAGCATGCTTGTAGCGACAGAGGAGAGGAAAAACTCCCTTTAACTGGAAGAAACCTCCAGCAGAACCAGGCTCAGTGTGAGCGGCCATCTGCCAAGGCCGACTGGGGTTCAAGGAGACAGAAGCATTAGTAGCATTAGTAGTAGCAGTTTTAAAGTTTCCCCCTCAGGCCTAAGAGTGAGATTAGAGAGAAGAAGACTGGCCTCTTATGGGAAGTTTAAAAAAAGGTAAACAAAGCTGTTGTAATTGTTCACAGGATGTGTTTACATGCGATTATTGTCATCTAAAAACCTTTTTATCACGCTATGCTGTTAAAGTATTTTTTTGTAAGTATGGAAACCCACTATATATTTAAATCAATATTTTTTTGGTAGCGTAAACTAGAGATACTCAAACTATAAAGAGGTTTAAAGGCACATTGAACATTCATACTTTAAAATCAACAGAAAACCTTTTAGGTCTGGGAACTTTTAGTCTAAAACATGTTAAAAATAATTTAGGAACATGGTGGGTTCTGGATCTGAGGTTCCAGCTGATAGCAGATCAGATCTTTTTATTTTTTTAAATCACAGATGACAGCTGCAGAGAAAACTCACTCATAATTAGGACCTGTTGACCGTTTTATACTTGCAGCACAAGTGGCTGAAAAGTGGAAACAAATTTATATCATGAAAAAAAAATTTAAATTAAAGAAATGTATATTTGTTTGTCTGCATTAAAATAGCCTATTTACAAAAAGGGATATAGAAGAAGGGATATAAGCACTAAAGCTGGGCATACACTACGATTTCTTTGCCTTTTTGTCGTGCAAGAATTTTTCCAATGTCGCACAATGTGAGAACATACATCGTGAGCTGTACATTTTTAAACCGCACTATTTTGTCGTATGATTTGAGTTGTAGCTGCGTGCAACAATTGTAAATATCGCAGTGTATGCCCGGCTTAAAGGAGCTTAAAGGAGAAGTCAGCAGGATCTGTGATGACGCTCTTCAGTGCACCTAGTGTGCAGCGGTCTGTCTGCTCCGTTCAAGGTCTGGCAGACGTTCAACAGCAGTGATGTTTCTGTTTGTAACTTTATTTTTTAGACGGACATAAATAGTTACTAAAGTAGAAAGCATAAGATAAAGACAAGCACAGAAATTTCACTTGAAATGTGACAATGAATTTCAGATGAAATCTATTTTCATATTTCTATCCATTTATTCAGTGTTTAATCAGTAATAAAATCTTTCATCCCTTTTTGTTGTTGGATTAAGGAAGAATTCAGTGGTTTCCCTTTAATTGATCTGCTGCAGGTGAAGAACCTCATCACCAACCTGCAGGCCGCTGCTAACGGTTTGAACGTCTCTGTGGAGGAACCCGCCGCCACCCAGCCGCTGCCTCCTGCGTCCTTCCACAGGTTCCTGCTAGCCCGGCCGTTCCCTGGTGTCGTCATTGAGGACCACAGCTCCAGTTTCACCAACAAGTAACTTTTAAAAACACACGACCCAGAATACTGTGGTGTTTCTGCCACTGGTTTAAGGTACTGATTGGTGTCTGTGTGCAGGTATTACCAAAGCATGTATGACAACCCTGAATACCTGAACCTGTTGTTCCCTCCTGATCTGACCCCTGAGGAGCAGCTGAACCACATCTCAGACACTGCAAAGGTAGAAATATAGATGATAGAATAGCTTCTTCTTCCCCTATAGATTGTAGTTTAGATCAAAGATATAAATTGTCTGAGCTTTAAATCTTTCTGCTACTCCATCATTTATTTATTCATCTCTCTATCCACCCATCTTTATCCATCCATCACGGTTTAAACCTATTTTCTGTTCTTTAATTCCTTGTTAGTCTCTGACTGAGGTGGCGACCCTCGTGGCTCGAGCTCTCTTTGTTCAGGCTGGAGGAGAAAAAAGCCAAATCAGCACCATTAAAGCAGATGAGCTGACGGTAAGGCTATGATCTACCTTGACGCCTGGTTCACATGGCAGGTCGATCCCATCGCCAATAGGGGAAGTCCGACATATCCGATTGTCTTGGCCTGATGTCCTATCGTGTTTGTGGTGTTTCTAGACTGCAAATTAAGTATAAAACCTTTTGAAAGTGACGTGCAGCCAATCAGAAAGCAGCTCCTGGAAAAGAAAACAACAACAACGTTTCTCTTATTGTACTGTTTGTTTTTTTTGTCAGAATTAGTTCTCCAAGTATCTCCATTGCTTCTCACTCGTTGGATTTTTTTTTATCTGAACTTCTTTTTTATTTCACAAGATTCTGTGAGACTTCCAGAGTCCATTCTTTGGAGTAAAATAATCTCCACTAACATGCGTGAAATGTCAGTGGCATTGTGCACTTTTTCTGGAAAAATTAGGCAGTTCTATCTATGCTAAAATTATTTAATCTGATCGAAAGCGAGGTACATTTATAGAGGACGTGCAATCAAATAACCAATGTCTGTTAATGCCGCCATGCTGGACGACCTATAAAGCACCTGCATGTCTGGTAATAATACAGCGAGATGTTTAATACAGAGATTTAATCCAAAACGGGAGGAGAATCTGCCAACCCTGCATCGCCAAAATATCTTCAACATTTTTAGGTAGGGAGTTAATAAGCTGCTAAATTGCAAAAAGTTCTCTTGTTGCAGAGCAGGATCTCTATAAGCTAGCTTGTTTTTTACTGATTCAAGACTGCCATCGTTACATCCCTGACTTCATCTACCACCACTTGAATAGTTATTTGCTGAATCACCAAATTTACTTTTCAGGAAAAACATTGAAGGTTTAAAATGGTTTAGATTTCTATAGCTATTTTGTGTAAACCAGCAGGGGAAAGTGCTGAGCCATGGCAGCGAAAGGAGCGAAGTGTGGTGGACGAACTGTGCATTGGGTTATAATCATAGTTAGCATGTCAGCTATTCAGCTATAAATGCCTGGTAACAAATAAAACTCTCCACCTTTTTTTGACTAGCGTCAGAGGCCATTTCCACAGCTGTCCAAATTAAATAAATCTCTATAACGAAATGTAGTTTAACAACTGTATATTGGTTATTTATTCTCCAGGTGCACAGTTTTATATTGCTAAAATACTTTAAAGTATTTTATCATTTATCTTTTAACTCTTCACTATTCAGTATTCTTTTACATTTTTCTAAGGTCCAAATTTGTGTGACCATTTTTTTCTATAATCTTTTTGCTGCTGTAACCCAGAATTTCCCCACTGTGGGACAATAAAGGGATTTTCTATGCTATTCTATTCTGTTCTATTCTATTCAACTAAATTGTTTGGGGCAAATTCTGCTAGTTGGTTTCAGCTGCTTCTTAACGGCAGCCGCCCGTTCC